CATAAGAAAATTTAAAAGATTTTGGAGGTATGAGAACGTTTTTTAGAGTTATTCCCAATGTTTTAATGTTAATCATTATAGTATCGGGTCGTTCAGGAAAGACAATAACAGACAAAAATTGAGAAGGATTTGCAGGTAGAATAAAATCGTTGCAAAACTGTTTGTTACATATGTATTAAGGATTTAGTAGCTAGTGCTACACACTGCAAATGTAATATTCCAACTTTTTCAACTACTCTGGAACAGTTTCTGATACAAATTTGTGTGAAAAATGCAATTAATTGATCCTCAAACCTACTTGACTTCAAAATTATTGGTTTTGAACTTTGACAGGCTCATAGCTTATTTTTAAATTTTAAATGATGTTTATATGAGGTTTCTGCAGGTTGTATGCGACAGAAAGGAAGAAGAAACACAACCTTTCATCATATCACGTAATGTTTTCTTCTTCTTACAAGCTTAAAAATAGAAAAAATGCTATTTAAATCCCGTTAAAAACAGAATTAAAAAAAAAGAATTTCTCAATTGAAAAGGTCATGACAAGTAATTCAAAAAATTTTACAGCATATTTTGACCATTTTCTGTGATTGGATTGAAAAATTTCACTACACATATTAAAAACTATGAGAAAAGTGGTCGATTCTTACAATTACGCCGTTTTCTTTGTGGTTGCAGGTGGTGCAGGTAACAGTGTAGGTAATCAGCTCACACTCCTACAAAATTTTTAAATTTAAAAGTGGTTGTCAAACAGTTATTTTTTCAGCAGTTTTTTCTAGATAACAGAAAAACTGTGCAATATGTACAGTGTTATAGGTAGGATAAACGAATGCTAATTACTCAAATAGTGAAACGTGTAGACGGTATATCTGTTAAAACTCGGTATACCACTTGGAATATGCATATATAAATTTATTTATTTATATTTATATGCTTATAGTATTGTTGATATTCCAAGCCGACAAATTTGTTCTCTGAGTAATCAGCTTCTGTTCGTTATTTTTCTACGGTAAATCTGCAAAAAATTTCGATGTCATTTTGATCTTTCTGATACTGTTTTTTTTATCACACTACCCAGACTGCAACAGAAAATATCTTCCAGTGCCACATCTTTGAGACTATCAGCACTTTTAAACTTAAATAATCATTCGCAGACATTGATATTATCTTTAGCAGTTAATCTCTACAACATAAAAAAGGCTGCCGGCATCTGGCTTTTATCGATGAAAAGCTTTCCTCTGTACAAAGCATTGCAATAATGATATTTTTTTTTTAAACTCAAACCAATAATTCTTTGATTTTTGCTAAAACACGCCTGTCCTATTCTCTAAATGCAGCTTTTTCTGACAGAGTTTGAAAACAATGTGCTGGTGACCATTGGTACATCTCACTGCGGCTATAACGCATCGCAGCTTCACCTGAAACGCATGCTTATGCGTTCTTACTTTTTGTCAACACTGTCTTTGTGAAACACTACAAAGCCGAGAGCAAAACGTGAAAGAGAAAAAATTTATAAATACGAGCTGACGAAAATAATGGAGTATATTTAGCGCATAGTGCGCTATTTATTTTTACAGAAAACTCAAGATTTTGAGTGAAATAACAGAAAGTAACACCTGAAAGTTATTGCAGAGTTTGTTCTGATGTTGCCGGAAAAGAACTAGGCTACGTTATAGCAGAAACAAAGGCCGAATGGCTCAATTCTTAGCCCTGGGAATCCTGTCTAGGCCACTGATTGTACTAAGCATATTGAATCAAAACAGTGCGCTTCTGTTCGGAGATGTCATAAGCAGTCAATATTTGAGTCGATATTTTTCTTGGCAATCAGCAAGAAACATTACCGTATTTCTTCTGATATACACAAAGGAAGATTAGGAATGGACTCTCCTATGTTCATAAAGTACGCTCTTGTTTTTGCCTAGATTTCAGTAGAAAAGTAGATTATCTTTCTATTGAAAATATAAAAAAAAATAAATGCTCTTCTTTTATTTGTCTTCTTTTTCCTGAGATTATGTATTCTTACCAGTGCTTTTTAACGTTTTCTTTCTTGATAGAGGGTTGGGTTCTCAAAGTTTTTATTGAAACTGTTCCTTGTTTCATCCACCTGTCTGGTCTCTGAGAAGTCAGATAAGTAAAATAATTTCAACTTTTTCTAGTTAAAAAATATTTGTTTTCTCTAGGTTCACAAGATGACCAAAGCTCAATGTCAAAAGAAGTGAGGATTTCTACTTAGGTAAGGATATTATTTTAAAATGCAGGACTGAACAGCAATATTTGCTAGCAAAAGCCTAAAACAAAGAAACTTAGCTGCTAACCGAAGGTAAGAAAGAGTTTGAGAAAAAACAGTTTGCTATTCGGAAAAGTTTGAGAACTGTACAGCGTTACAGCTGCATTTGGTGTTTACGTCAGCAGTTCCGTTGCGTCGTATGTGGGCTGAATTTTGAGGTAACACGCGATGTTGGTTCTGTGAAGTGATGGGAATAAATGAAACTTAACTGCGGCTATCGAAGAGGATTGAAGCCGTAGCGCACAGGTTTGGAAACTTTTTTCTGCTGAAGTAAAGAGTGTAACCAACTGGTGGTTGTTATCAGGAGGCTGCGACTATTCAGAAACCGCAGATTTAAATGTCGACCGTACAGCTGCGGATGGAGTTGCACGTTTTGATATTAAGCAAAGCAAAGGGTGTTCAGCCACCTTTACGGTAGTAACACCAGGGTTTTCGGGAATAAGGGTACACCTCATTTCTGACTCTCAAGGATTTGAAACAGAGGCCCTTTGGTCTGTTATACACTTTTTGCATTATCTTCTTTCAAATGCCTGTACTGCAGAAAACACACGGTGTTTTTGGTTGTAGTTTCAGTTTTTCTGATGCGTTCTGCTGAGCATTGTGAACAGTGGAACTTTTGGCAGGTTCCACTGAAAGCGGTGGATTGGCAGACAGTGCCGACGAATGGACTCATCTGGCGGTTGCATGATAAAAATTTTGGATGGAGTGTTTCTGGGCGGATAAGCTTAACGCCTTAACGCACACTGCTTTTTCTCATTCCGAGTAAGTGATAGAAGTAGCTGTTGAACAAGGCTCTCAACAGTCTAAGCAGATATTTATCAACGGAACCTTACACTAAATACGCAGCAGGTTGCAAGTTTACTGAGATGAACACTAACCGACAGCAAGAACGAGCAATGCCAAGTAACAAAATAAAGGTAGGCGCAACGCCAAAACCACGCCAGTCAGCGCCGACCAATAACGGCAAAAACAGTTTCCTTTCAGGAAATGTATGTTGCAACAGCATTAGCGAAGAAAACAAAACTACAATAGGCGCCATAAAGTATTTAAAGTAAAGATTTTTAGCGTGAAAGAAAGATACCTTTGCATAATCCTAAAGCTTGTTTTCGTGGCAAGTGTTAAAACTGCATATTATAACCGAAAATTATATGAGCTAGATGAAGTTTTGTGCCCTTTGTTCTTTGGCTTCAATATCGATATGTTGAAGAAGCCTGCTTAATTTTTATTCTGGTGACTACGTCTTCTCTTTCGAGTAGGAATAGGGTTCTTTTAGTGTAACAGAGATATCAAGCTGCGAAAGATAAGTTGTTTCCAGTTTTGTCCTTTTCTGTGTTTCTTTTTTATTTTTTTCGTAAAACGTTGTTTTCTTGTCCTTGCTCAACGCGTAGACATTTAAATTTCGTTATTTTCTAAGTCATTTATTATTTCAACATCCACTGGTTACGACAGTTAATCGAATGCCAAAAATTGGCTTGGTACAGTTTCGAGAAAACTTTCTGAACAATGCTTTTTTACCCTTCCTAATTATCGTCAATAGCGAACTTGAGTAAAACAGTAAAAAAAACAATGAATCTTTAGGAGGTACTCATGGACACAATTTTGTAGGAAAAAGAAACCAAAAGATAATACAAGTAGCTTCAACAGAACTTTGTCAAGGCAATAAAACTGTATGACAAGAAAATACTTTGAAAGAGTGCCAAACACTTTAAGAGCTATGAAAGGCAATGAACTTTAAGCGCTGACGTACTTTTTTATACCTGTCTGAAGTGACACGATCAGCGACTTATCCTCTGAGAGCTTTTTCTCGAAGCAGGTCAGAGACTGTGCTCTGAGAACTGTTGTTCTTCTCTATGGCCACGGCATCTGGACTGCAGATCTTCCTTACTTTTGTCAGGAAAATTTTCACAAACAACATTTCGACCATAATCGTTACGCATATTTTGGTACTGGGAACAGCAGCTCTACTTTTCTCAATCATTCTGTTATTGGTGGAAAAGTGGTGGATTACCTTTTGAGAAAGTCAATTTTTGAAGACTTCTGCAGTGGTAACAGCTCTTTTAGCAACTTCAGTAGGTCTCTGCTTTACTGTAATCAATTTCTGGCTTTTGTACTTCGATGATATGGGCTCTTTTTAACAGTGTTTTTGCAGCTGTTCATCTACTCCGAGACACTTCTTGTTTTCATAAAATGCATATCTCAGAGCATCCTCATTGGCTTTCATTCGTGGAGGGGCAAGCCATTGGTGCTTCCAATCCTTTCTGTCAAGTTGCATTTTTCAACCAGTAGCTGATTGAGCAAAGTGAAGCAAACAGTATTTCTGCTGATGGCTGCCTACGCTTTTCTACGGAGACTTGCTTAAACCTAACAAAAGTCTCGTAATTTCTCTGCGCAGATTTAGAAGAGAAGTTTTAATCATTTTTGCGCAGTATTTTCCGCAGCATTCTCATCTTATTATTTGAATTGTCCTGAAACCTTTCGACCCAGTCGAAAATGTTTTTTACTCGTTGCATTTTTGCGGAGGAAGTAGTGAGAATTAGAGGTTTTTCGGGAAGTATGGAATAGTGAAGATAATTATGGCAAGAAGCATCTCTTCTCAATTGGAAGATTTTCTTTTTACCACATAGACATTATAATCGGCGGTATTATGCAATAAACACAGCTGTACTGCTTTGAACGTCATTTTCTGCTGATGCCGCTAGTATCGTTCTATAAAAGTTCACACAGCAACACTGACAGCAGCAGTACTAATATGTGAATCCGACTCTTCACCACTCTTACTTACTTCTTCCGGCTCGTCGTCAGTTCCCTAAACAAAGAAGTAAAAATTAAGTAACATTCTCTTTGTCGTTTTATTTTTTATTCGCGAAATCTGAGTTTTACAAACTTTCCTGGATTAAAAGCATATTATTACAGTTTATTCAAATATATTGTTAGCTAACTTGTGTGCTTTTTGAATGTCTTTCCTTGTAATGAGTCTGCATTTTTGACTCTGCACAAACGTACTGACAAACTTCACAGGAAAGCTTTCTTTCAAATGTATCGTCACTGTGTTTGAACAGTAAATGTTGGCGCAATGAAGTTTCAGACTGACTGCTGAAAAAATCAAGAAACATATTAGCTGCTTAAAAACTTATTACTAGTTATGGTTCTAGTTATTAATTATTTTTTAGGTAATGTATAAATTGACCTCAAGAGTACATATAACGGTCTAAAGTAAAGTTGCTAAGTTTGAGATCAAGGTGTTTGAGTATTTTGGTGAAAATTAATTGATTGTTTTTCGAATTAGGCTGAGTATACAAAGTTTCTGAAGATGGTAGTATTTGCAGTTTGTGAGCTTTGGTCGCTTTTTATAGTCTCTTTATTTATTAACTGTCAGTATTCTATTGTTTTGTTCAGAACTTTAATAATCACGTACCGATAGCTGCAGTGCGGACATGAAAAACCAGGAATATTGTTATCCTGTTGATGCTGTTGCTCCAGCAAATGGTCGAGCAAGTTATTTTCTTCTGACGTTTCTTTATCACATTGTGGGTGCAGCACTGGACTGATACCTCTATTTCCCTCAGTCAAATGCCTACTGATGTGCTTTTCTAACATTGCTGGGCTTTTTGATACATGTGTGCAGTAAGGGCATTTACGACAGCCTGCAAGTTAAAAGTCACTTGCATACAAGGCTTTTTTTTTTAAAATTTTTTTACTACACCTTTACGCTTACTGCGGAAAACATTTAATAAAGTGAACATTCTGAAAGCAGCAGGATATACCGAGATCAATCGTGTTTGGCAGCGGAATATGATGGCGATAAAATTTGTGAAAATGGATGTATCTTGCTTCGCGGGTGCTGAACTGGCAGCCGTCGATATCGCATTTTATAGGTGGGTTACGATGATAGATAGTTACGTGATATGATACAGAGTTGTATCGGCCATAAATTTTTTTGCACACTGTACACATAAAGCCATTCTTTACTTGTTCGATGTACTTTTTATTCCTACACCATCCTGAAGCAAAATTCGCCATTATACTGCCTTCTCACTTAGAACTACACTGATTTACCGCTTCTTTGTCACTCCTTCAGTTATGATCAATTTGATTACAAAGAGCAGTAATTGAAAAGACAGGGAAAGATAACGCTAGTTCAACATCCTAAACTTTGATTTTTTTTTTTGAAAATTGTTAAGAAAGACCTTCACGATCGCTACTGGGAACAATTATGTCATTGGTTTTACTGAAATCTCCTTCAGAAGGTCCACCTATATAAGAATCACTGGAGTCAGACTGTGAGCTTTTCTCAACATCATCAAATCCTTGGCTGTCCTAAAGCTGTCACTTTTTTAGAAACTGGCATGAGTAGTGAATTTGGAGAACGTAGAATTTTTCGTTGCTTTTGGCCACTTACATTTCGCCTTCTCTTTCGCGATAGACTTTCCGAAGTGTTATTCGGCTGTTGAGATGCCAAAAGAGTAGATGGCAGAAGAGAAGGAACATTGTACATCTGAAAGAAATTTCTTATTCAAAACTAAAAATATTCTTAAACATATATCTACAAGCCACACTGTTGCCATAATCTTAAACCTATGAATAACGTAAATATTTTAAACTTATTCGGTGTTTTCGCTGCAATAGCAGTATCAGAACTATACTTATCTGCAGTCAGAAAGGTTCATAACTTCAAATTAAAAAACATACTTGGGTTGCAATGATTGACTGTGCTAATTTTTGTGCGGCTAATTTTGTTAACTGAAGCTGAAAATCCTAAAAAAAAAATCATGAATATCTTCAAATACTAGCAAATTTTTGAAAGTTTTTCATCCACTATTTCTCAGATATTTCAAGAATATATGATAGTATCAAATTTTTATTTAATAAGATGCAATTATTTTTATGTTTTCTATATTTATTCATAGCTTGTACAATTGAATTTTTTTTTTCTGACTGTAGGATATAAACGTGTACGGTCTTTACATTTCACCAATATTCTGTTTTTCCTCTTTTTTTTTTGCTTGCAAAATCAGTGATTCAGATAAATGTTTTAAAAGGTATCAATTTAAACGTTTTTTCGTTAGAACGTTTTCAAATCAGACTACTATTTGGGAAGACCAGTAGAAAAACTAGCTGGTCACTCTTTCTTGTCGAAATACAAAGAGACAATTTTCAAGGATTGTACCTTTTCTCGTAAAGCAAAAACAGTTTTGATGCAACCAGTAGAATTACCGATAGAGTCTTTAAAATTTTTTCTGTAGCAGTTGTTTCTCATAAAATTGACTTGTAAAATTCAAAAGCAGCGTTAGACTACCAGAACTAAGCAGAGAAATTATATAATTTAAAAAGCTAAAATTTAGAGACAGTAATTAAAATGCATCGATGAATGCAATTTTATATTTTCCAGGCAAAGCAGTCTGCTAACATCTACAAGGAGGAGAATAAACTTAAAGAATGGTTTTTTTGTGACCTTATTCAATCACATGAATAAAGTTTAACCCAAAATAACTCTTCTTTAGTGATCTAAGAGCAATTTTTCTAGCAAATAGGTGTGATCATCTAAACTCACGAGGGACTGCATTTTCATTAATTTCATTAAAAAATTGCTTCTTTGCTTAAATAAAGATTTTCTTATTCTAGGTTACATTTTTAATCAAAAAAAGTCATAAACAGCTAACAAAAAACTCAGGCATATTGCTTATAACGCTTTCTAAGATTTCCCTGCAATAATAATAACAATCACTTTAACAACAATTTTAAGCTGTTCTATTATTAAAAGAATTTACAGATTTTAAAGCAGTTAGGAACTGACAATTTCTTAACTTCTGAATCTATAAGATTTTTTTAGATAAAAAAATTATTTTTCTAAATTAAGTTATGTTTATCTTAGAAGCTGTTCTGTTAATTTCTGTAGTTTTACTTTAATGGACAAGTCTTAGTTGGAATGCAATCGTAATGCGTTTGAGTTAAAAAGCAACTATCTATTATAAGCTGACCTAATGTACTTGCTCAGTAAGGTAGAAGTAAATTGCGACTTAGAGTTAGCTTAACAATGCTGCTTACATTTTAGCTATATCAATAATTTTTTTCATAGAATTATGAGTTGGTGATACGGAAAAACAATTTGTTGTAAAGGTTTACAAATTCTAATAGTTAGAAAACGTTTGCTGCAAGCAGTGAAATCTTTTTATATTTTTAGCACTACTATTCATCATAAGTGGCGCTATCAGTTTTGCCGAAAAAGAATTAAAGTTGTGGAGAAAAAAAAACTGAGATGCTGATAACAGATTTTATTGTAAACTTTTTTTCACTTTTATTTATTTTCTGTCATTCTCATAAGAAGCGACAAATGAAGAAAGCTGTTGTTATGTAAAGTTATTAAATGTTGAAATGATATGTAATTATTTCTCAAGAAGGATGGTTCGTAAAGCTCATTTGCAAACAATCTATAACTGTCAACTGGCTGCTGCACTGTAGCAAATTTTATAGATAAAATGTAGAAATCGTTAACAAATAAAATTTCTTATGGAGAATAAAATGTTTTAAAAAATTTGAAACTGAAGTTAAGCTAATTTGTTACTAAAAGTAACAGCAAAATACCATTATTTCGTTATTCCCTGTGTGTGAACTGTTGGATGCAGACCCACTTAAAAGAGCTTCCAAAGTTGCAGACTGTGACATAAGTAACGGTGAAGGAAACAGCGCTGAAAATTCAATTTGATTGCTTAATATTTGTTTATTTTGTTAAGTATCTTACATGACTTTTGAAAAGATTTTTCAAATTATTTAAATGACTTCTTTTTGTATTTTATTCAGGATAGGAAATAAGCTATTTAGCAGGCTAAAAGTTGCTTTTAACCTGGTAATGACGAGGTTGTTGCGGGTGTAACTTCTTGAGCTTCTTGACAGTAAGGTTGTAATAATTCTTCAGCACTTGTTATTTGATAAAGTTTTGCTACTTGCATCATCTAAATAAACGTTTATTTTAAAACAGTTATCTGGAGCTGAAGAATTATAAAAGTTTTAAATTTCTTCTGAATACAATGTAGGGTCACTATAAACAAGATACCAAATAAAAAAAAAAGAAAAACAAGCATCTAGACAAGATAGCCTGTCGTGTGTACCTGAGTTGGTGTGCAGTTAGACAAGTCCAAGCAACCAGAATACAAAAAGTTCAACAGTGACTCGAGACACGCTGTTGCATTCTCAGTGTAGAGCATTAGTTCTAGTTCAGCTACACTATCCTGTAAGAAGAGCAGAATATGAGTGATGCACTAAGATGTCAATCTGAGACATAATTTACTGGAATAAGAAAGAACAATAGATTATTTTTGCTTTTGACAGTTCTACTAAAAGTTACCGTTGTTTTAGATTTGAAACAATCATTAAAGTACTGACTACCAGACGCCAGTATTACACGATGACACTTGAACGTTTTTGTCATATAGTCTTCTGTCTTAACATGAAGAAAACAGTCGATAAAATTTTCATTCATTCGTTGCTGTTGAAGTTTAAGACACAGCGAGGAATCATGTTGAACTTCTTTTAACATTTTCGGTGCAGTTTTTGGCATTGCCATTTTAAATAAGAATTTTTACAGAAATTTTTCTGTAATATAAAAAAATTAGCTTATCCAAAAGTCCATATTAAAAAAACAATGTTCGTTATTCGATAAAAAAAATTGATCTTTAAAAATATTTAAAAAGTTCAAGAAAAGGCACAAAAGTAGTTTAGAACAACACTGTTTTTTTCAAGGCTACGGAAGAGCGATTCGTTTTCAGTCATCTCTAAGACGAACTGGAAATTAGACTGCTGCAAGCGCTTAGGTGATGCTCGTGGAAAATGTTTAGAAAAACTGATAAAAAAATCTTAAATTGGAGCAGTAAAAAAAATGTGTCTTCCTCTTCACCATTTTTTTCTCCTTCCACCTCCTCTCTCAATTCCAAAAAAACCCAAATACTATAACGGAGCCGGAAGAATTATTGGACAGCACAGTCGTTGTGGCTTTATAGAAATTTTTTTGTTGAAAACTGTCGAAAAACCAAGAAAAGATTTTTCAAAAAAAGCGCTACAATAAAATTGCTTTATATCCTTTTTTATGAAGTTTTTATGTAGATATGAAAAGGCAGTAAACTATGTTTGCTTGATAGTAAACTAGTAAAATAAAAAAAGCAATAAGCAGATGTCATGAAAATAATGGAATTCAGCAGTTCTTTTCAACAGCTTATTCTTTAAGATGAAATGATAGAATTGATGGAATTCAAACTTTAATTCATGTTCTAAACTCAAACCTTAAAATACGTTGACAAAAGCGGAAAAAATAAACCATTATTTTAAAATTAAAGTTGATTCATTCAGAAAAATGTTCACAACAGCACAGTGCTGAGATTGTTTAGAGAACACACTTGTTACTGCAATAAAAATTGTTTTATTCAACTTTAAACAGTCAAAATCACTTTCATCGAAACGTGTTGATGCTTGAAGAATAAGCTGTTAAAAAGAACTGCTGAATTGTATCATTTTCATGACATCTGCTTATTGCTTTTTTTATTTTACTAGTTTACTATCAAGCAAACATAGTTTACTGCCTTTTCATATCTACATAAAAACTTCATAAAAAAGGATATAAAGCAGATGTCATGAAAATGATGGAATTCAGCAGTTCTTTTCAACAGCTTATTCTTCAAGCATCAACACGTTTCGATGGAAGTGATTTTGACTGTTTAAAGTTGAATAAAACAATTTTTATTGCAGTAACAAGTGTGTTCTCTAAACAATCTCAGCACTGTGCTGTTGTGAACATTTTTCTGAATGAATCAACTTTAATTTTAAAATAATGGTTTATTTTTTCCGCTTTTGTCAACGTATTTTAAGGTTTGAGTTTAGAACATGAATTTTTCGACAATATTTTTCGTTTTTTTTTTCCTCTTTTTCTTCAACAAATACTGTTATATAAACCAACTAAACACACATCCTACTGTAACATAAAGTATTGTATAATCAAATAAAAAAAAGTTTTAAGCAAAAAATTCTTGCAGATACAGTTTTTAGAAGAAAGCACATTAAAAACAGCAGATTGTTTTAAAACTGTAAATGCAGAACTGTCGCCATAGCAGAAAAGAAAAATTGAACATTTGTTGCCGAAGACAAAAAAGATATATGATTACAGAACGAATGCTTCAAAAAATTGGTATTTGTAGTTTCAAAGAATTAAAATTAGCAGTAAAAAAAGTACTAAATATTAGGCGTATATTGACGTAATAATATTTCATGGACTTCGGAGCAAATGTATTTAGTGCTTTAGGTGCAGCAACAACGACCACAGCAATACAGCATTCCGTTTACTTACCAAACCAAATGGCACACCCATTGCAATATTTCACGTACTTAAGTTTCTTAGATTATTATAGGCAAAAGTTTTTCCTTCCTTTTTTTTTTTTTAAATTATTAAGTATAGTAAAAAAAAATCATTTGCTTTTTTTAACTCTTATCTTACACCTCTGAATCATTTTATGTATTGCCGTTATGACCAACATTTACAAACTGCCTACGTTAAGAGGAAGGTTTTTTTTTTTTGCTTTACCAAGAAAAACTGACTAAAATTTTTGTTTTATTCTGCTATTTTCTAAAAATACTTGCTGCTGATATTTATTAGTTTGGGGGCTACAATGAAAACTGTTAGAATTTATTATTATCACAATTAACATCTGACTGTTGCAGTTACTGCCTGTTTTAGTAAAGTCTGAAACAAATGCTGAATGCAGTATTAACGTTATTTGAGTAGTCTTCAAATGTTGTTAATAAATTAGTGCAAAAGTTGTGTTCTGTTTAAAGATCTGTCTAATAATTAGAACAAGAAAAAGATTTTATGCTGAAAAACAAAAACGAATTTTACCACCTTAGTATGTCGTTAAAATAATGTAATTTTTTTTTTTTTTTTTGAATTAATAATTTGGGTTATGCT